CTTTTTCAGCTGGTCCAGGTGATGAGTATACGGACTATGTAGCCACCCGGTGGTATCGTGCTCCAGAACTCCTGGTCGGTGACACGCAATATGGCCCGCCGGTTGATGTGTGGGCTGTCGGCTGTGTAGTTGCCGAAATGCTCACAGGCACACCGTTATGGCCCGGCCGATCCGATTTAGATCAACTACATCTGATCACAAGGACATTAGGTGAGCAAATGTGTGAAGTTTGTGCTCGCTTGCGGGCTGCTTTGTGACAAACGCTACTATGTTGTGAACGGACTGAGTGTGTAGCTGATATATCATCTTTTGAACATTCTGTATGACAGCATTGCAATTGTTTTCTTAATATAAATAAAATAAACACCATGTGGCTACCAGCAATGAACTAAAGAATGTTGTGAACATTATGTAATGAGTAGTCCTCTTGAAAGCTCTTCTGAGACAAACCGTTTGTAACTTATATACCGAGCCTAAGACTAGACCCACAGTGCGCAGTGGAAAAAGTACATAACAGAAGCAGTTATTTAAAAGATCATGAGAATACATGCCAACCTTTCCGGATTCTTCCGTTGGTTAATGTAGGGTTCCCCAAAATAAAATTCGCCGGCTTTGGCCTGGGTAACCTAGCAGTATTCCACCCACGACCAAATCATAGGTCGATTTCTTTGTTATAAGTATTGTTGCTCTGTGACTACTTTGGCACTCATTTCGGACTCGGACAAGTGTGAAATATCTAATAAAAATAATATGTCGGACCTCGGACAAAAATAACAAATCAGTTATTCAGCCTAATTTACAGAACCAACAACCATTCATTGTCTGGTTGCTGTCTGTGGACTTGCCCGTTTTGGTTGAACAATCATCGAGGAATAAAAGAAACAACCAAAAGGCTGCAACAAAGCACAATGCAAAGTCACATAATTTTCAGTAAACTAAGTGAGCTCACGCTTTTACTAGATGCATTAGCGCCTCCGATTACCAAATCATAATTACATACAACTTCGCCAACTCCCTTTTAAGCAGATCAAGAGGTCCCCAAAAGGGTAGTATAATCCGACTAGGGTTCGCATGACGGATCCTCGTTTTACAATCAGTAACACGTCTCAGCAATTACCACACACCGCGAAAGGATATCCCGATTACCTATCACACACACATGGTATTGGCACACAGCTGATCGCAGCATCTCTCTTGTTTGGTCTAAATCTTGCGATTGCTCTTGCATTTGCGCTTAGGCTGGTTCGTTAACGGAACGTCGTTGGCTTCGCTAGTTTACTCGGATTGTACCCGTGATTCTCCGCACCAATTGGGTTTAACCCGGCGTCATTGATATCATGTGTGTTTAATCTTGGTCAGATGCGTCATTGTGAGCCTTTGCCAATGGCTTACTTTTAGTAAACAAGTCAGGTTTTGAAAGTGTCCAACCGAGTCATAAACCTGGAGGCTAGTGGTGAGATGAGCAAGGATCGATACTCGCAACAATCTCGCAAAGGTGGGTTGTGCTGTTTCGTGTATATTTAAAATAAGAAACGGTCTGATCAGCTGTTCGGTGACCCATCAGGTAGTATACTTGCGTTCTACTTGTGAAGTCACGGGTTTGATCTCCAATTTTGTCAATGGATTCACATTGCTGATGAAATCCAACGAGACCAAAACAGCTGTCCAGTGCTTTCCAGCCTTACAGCTCACGCCTCATTTACACGACGAATTGATCATCTGGATATGATTTGTTTGTCAAATGTATTGTTTTGTATCGTACTATTTTATGTGGATTGAAATTTTATCGAGAGCTTTTTCAAATGGAAAAATGTAGTTGATAATCAAGGTCGAAATAAAATACATCGATTCAGTTTCGAACAGCAAGTTTGTTAGAGATTCCATCAGAGCCTTCTCCTAATAGTTAACTGTTTGTGCGAAAGAAGAGAAACATGGAGCATTAACGCAATGTTATAGGCGTGGATGAAAGACCACAAGCACATGGACTGAATCCATACAGGGGTATTCCAAAAGATCATTATATGAAGAATGAATTCTTTTAACTAACGGTCACAGAAAAGTAAGTATCCTATCCGATGAGAATCTCACCAATACCAAATAGTAACACACTTGGGGTATGCTGAAGATGCAGTCTAGGATAACTAAGCATAGATAAATGATTCGAAAGTCCTCTTTATTTGAGCTTGAGAATAGTGAAGGGGGACGATGCATCATAACTGGAGAAACACCTTAGATCACAAAAACGAATGTTTCCATATCACCTCTCACAATTTGCCTCAGCTTACGAACGCGAAAGTGCGAACTACGTAGTTTACAAATAGTCTTCAATATGTTTTTCGTCCGTAGAAGATTGATCTGAAGGTTGACAAATAAGTAATGTACAAATTCACCTAAGCGCCGTAAATTCCAATTGGACATTGAGGGTCAATCACAGACTTGTGTACGAGTAGTATGAAAAACATAAAGGATTTTGGGATATTCCGGAATGGTTTTAAAACTCATAAGTATCTACGAGTCAGTGTGAGTAATTTCAGATTAACGAGAACCGTTCTATGAGAAGAATATATCCTGGTCGCATTGGATAAGGTTGTCAGGAGACCGAAAAAAATAACACTAACACAACTTAGAAATAACAAGAGAGAGAGTACTATATTTTCGAGCAATCTAAAATCACTTACTCCCGATGTGAATATGCACTTGCCAACACTCGTGTCTTGAGTAACCCGGGGAAATGGTTCACAATTCGGTTCTATTTGTGGACTGTCAATGATTCCGCTGATTGTATCCAAATTCAAATTTCTTTTATGGGTAAATTACAAAGCCGATGCTTATTGAATCCCACAGGGTCTGTACACACTGGATTCGGCTGGTAGTACAACTGGATAGCAACTTCTGACGTTCACTCACGGGTACTGAAAAGTTAGATGGTTCAATGCTTCATCCAGTCGTGATTTTAATGAATCGATGGTTGATGCACAAACAACTTGAGGTGGAAGAGAGTTCCGGGTGTTACAAACTCTGAGGCTGAAAGAATGACGCCTGCAGTCGAGCCAGCTCTTTTGAAGCAGACGTTTGAACGGATGTCCTCGGAGGTGACCATTCCTTGATAGCGTTAGTAGAGTACAACACGGGTGGTTAGGTTGCTGTAGTATTTGATAAACGAGGATCATGTCTCCCCGTATTCGACGGTATTCAGACGAGTAGAATCCGAGAATTCACAGTCTTTCACCGTAGGTCTTAGATTGTAACCCTTTGACCATTTTGATTGCTGTTCTCTGCGGACGTTCAAAGGCCTTTTGGTCGCGAATCAGCCATGGATTCCAAGCCTGTTTGCATACTCAGTGTATGCTGATAATAAACGGGGCAATAGGGCTGTTTCGAATGATCTAAAAATACGTTTTGGCAATCCAACGTGTTTTAAAGCCTTTGAAGAAGCTTTTACGCAGTGTGTGGAACATCTTAGATCCTCACGAACGATAACTCCGAGGTCCTTTTCGTACGGAGAACGCGGCAATGGCTGAGTTCCAAGTAAGTATGGAAAGCGACCCCTGCAGCGCAGCGATACTATTTTGCATTTTTCAACATTGAATTCGATCTCATTAATGATGGACCATCGATGAGCTACGTCGAGATTTTCCTGCAAGATTTCACAATCTTCAGGACAGTTTACCGTCCTCCATGTTTTGACGTCATCAGCGAATAATAATGCCTTTTCTCCAAGGACATCTGCTAGGTAGTTTATGAATGCTAGGAAAAGGTACGGACCGAGTACGGATCCTTGTGGAACTCCACCCTGATTGAGACCAAATAGTGTGCAATCGCGATAGTCATCGCTTTTAAGTTAACGGAATCCAGTTCACTGGGCAGAAATGATGACAATCTACGAATGAAGCAATGGCTTTGCTGGTACTCCTGTGGATTACAGATTGTAGATGCTCGTATCAAGTGAAGTGTATGATTGATGCACTCCAATAGGTGAATATTTAGAGAGTTATGACAAGAATTGGGAGAAATATTGTCCTACACTTTTGAATCTAGACACATTCCGTGGCAGTTTGAATCCGTCGTACGTATTCACGTAATATGCGACCACCATTTGCTCTTTAATTCGGTGTACTACGAAACAGTGTTAGTTTAAGGTGCAAATGCAAACGTTCGTTGAATCCTAACCCCTCTGAATTCACTGAGATGAAGTCCTGTCTCAAGCAAACCGCACGAGTAAGACCGGAGACGTTCTCACGACCTAATTGTAACACTGTGAATGCAATATGCCGATTTACTTTTTTTCCAAAATGTTCCAAAAAACGCATAAAGAGAACACGGTGACTAATAAGCTCGATTTCCATCAATAATTATGATATCGGTACAACACTACATTAAAAAACGGTGGNAAACGGTGGTTTTTGAAGGAAGGCAATGCAGGCTGATAAGTCGATCATAAATTTGCCGCCTGTTCCCACAATTCTAAATGCAAATGTAACAAACGTTCCGATTCGCGTCGAGAGTAAATACGGGACGGTTCAACCAGGCGAGATTTCGAATCCTATAATCATCACTTTGATAATCAGTAATCATCGCCACAATCCCCACAAAACTAGCCACACGTGACTGATGCTCCAGCAAGCAAACATCATCACCTGATTATACAAAAACTATATCTGAGGTGGAGAACAATCAAAACGTAATTGTGTGAACGTTTAACCCACCCGCATATCTCACGAACCCCTGTCTGTAATTGATCATATATATATATATGTATGTATATATATTTATATATATATATACGCTTCAATATGAAACACTGAAACACTGAAACTGACCTTTTCGCCGCGGTGCGTCTCTTTGCATTTTATCATATTATTGGTAAATGCTTGTAAATTTTGTGTTTTTTGTTAAATCCTTTGCAATTTTGGTGTTGGTGAGTTCTCCGAACAGGAGGTGTTGTTCGCAGACGTTTCGTAGCCAAGCTAGGCACGAAATCGAAGTCACACTGATGATGTTGCCTAGCTTGGCTACGAAACGTCTGCGAACAACACTTCCTGCTCNAAACGTCTGCGAACAACACTTCCTGCTCGGAGAACTCACCAACATCAACATCCGCATCCCGAGCTACAATCGTTTCACATCATTTCAACCACTGCAATTTTCTTTGAAAACACAATTGATCAATCATATCTTTCTCGTCTAAACATAATAGGATATGCTGTCACCATTTTCCTTGGTCTGTGTTTGTTTCTACAGGCGACCTAGTTCCAAGGCATCGTGAAATTTTTGAGAAGAATCTGTTTTTCAAGGGTTATAAACTGCAAGTGACAGAGAACAAGGTCAGTTTTTCACAATGAATAGAAAACGCTTTGTTTTCATATTCGTGCTCTCAGTTATCACGTTTTTTCCCGCTGCATGAGGCCTATCAATCACAGGTGAATGACTGAATCTCACTATCTAAGACCATGTTAGATGCTGGCGGATTGGCAAGGGAAGAGTGTCCAAGGTGAAGATTTTTGGCAGTTTTATGTTGCCTTGCCCAAAGGATAAGCAGAGCAGCAGCGGTTATAAAAGGTGAGAGGGGGGGGGCGGTTTATGTTCTTATTACTTTATCGTTTTCTGCCCTAAAGGACCAATTCAAGTTAAAAGTGCAACGAATGGGCGGCTTGCTAAGTTTACTGAATGGGGACAGTGCAACCGGAGAGCTCTTAGAAAATCAAACATCCAGTAGCAACGGCTAAACAATAGGCTTCAGTAGAAACACCCGAAATGTTTGATTCGGTGCTGTCTGTACACGTAGTGGATTTGTTTGTATTCTTCCAAGCTTAAATGGCAAGAAGTTTCAACCAAAATTAATGGCACTAACCACAAACAGCTTTGCATCGGGGTAACGGATTGGAAGCGTTCAACATTGAGTAGTAAAAAACTGAAATTTATCCTTTCGGATAGACGTGAGGCAGCGGAGGTCACATGTGGTGTCTAATACGCTTGGGTTGGACAAGACCTGTTGTAAAAACTAATAAAGATGAGAGAACGCAGTTACTCTTCCAGATGTGGAAAAAGGCTGTGAAAGGCAACTGAGCTACTTGAACCAGGGCAACAATGTTAGTCAATACACAAGTATAATTCAGAACATCCGTCTGCAATGTTAGAAAACTCAGTTTCGTGAATACCCAGTTGTATTAACGGAAAGTTGGTTTTGGTTGTTGAATAATAGATGACACAATCCAGGCAGAGGGATTGCTCGGAATTTGGTCAATCAGAATAAAGAACTTGTAACAAGTAACGCAAAATCACTGCATCTCAACTGCCGAAAAATGTCTCACGGTACACTGAGTAGTAAGCAAGGGAAGGTAAAACAACCGATAAGTTACTAAGTTGGTGCTAAGCTAACATACAGTTTTTTCTGTTGGCACTGGGTGAGCTTCCATCGATTAGCGCCTCTGCAAGTCGTAGTAACCGTGAGTGTCTGGTCGAATAAATAGTTCTGAATGACTTATTACGATCGAATTGGTGGTTTGTTTTGAATAGATGCCTCACGCTTGATCAAACAAAAGTGCTATTATTACGGTTTCTCTTCTACCGTCATTGAGTAAAATTGAATGTGTTAACCTCGCGTGGAATCCATTTCGGATTACGCTTACCCGCTCCGTTACGAAACTGTTTGTCTGTAGATAACTCTGGAGCCACATTAGAATCGATGGAATCATGGAATCTTACTTGCCGTTTTACCGTCCATCTATGTGCTGAGCTTGCTACCTATCCCCTGTTAATGTTATTATTGTTGTGGCGTGGGCACTATGCTTGTCTACAAGCCAGTGTTATGTATATCCATAATTGTATATATGGAAGGATCTTGAGAAATTAATTTTGCGTTTTTGGGGTATCAAGCTTGGATTAGCCCATTCGACTTCTCAGAGGCACCAGGCACTCTCGATGATGAGTCCTAAACAGGACGAAACAGCTGTCCAGCTATATTTGTTGCTTATCACAAACATTAATTTACAAGTATACTCAGCTCACTAGCTGAAGTTACTGTAATCAAAATTCTTCAAAAACAGGAAGTTTCACATGCGTTGCGTGAACCTTGCCGATTAATGATGGAATACGGTAACCGGGGTCACTGTAAAACCTGTTCATTTCCTATTAAGTTTGCTTCATCGTTGAGTACGCCTTTTCCCCCGGTCACTTTTGATTCTCATTTTAGTTGATGAAAACTCCGCACCCGAATCAGTGCGAAATTGTGGAGACTTTAAAAAAATGAATTGCACTAATTTATGTGATTGAACCGTTGGTAAGAATGGTGAACAATAATGAATTTTGTGTGAAATGAAGTGCCCTTCTTTGTTAACAAACCGAACAAGTATATATTGTTAGTAATAAAATCCTCGGATACTGGTGACGGAGCGGCATCCTGTTGGTTTTACAGATTCGACTCCAGATGTTTATGGTTAACGAAGCGTGTTCTGATTTCCAAACCAAAGCAGCAAATGGTGTGTGGGTGAATTTGGGTTAACATTTAATCGCAAACTCTAATGAAAATCAACACATTATTCGAATGTCACGCAAATCGAGTGAGAAGTTAGCTGATGAGGAAATGTGTCAGTATTCTGCATCGAGTGACCAAATATTTTTAACGCTTATTTCCCAAATTGGTTCTTGCAACGATAAATTGTTTCCTTGAAAACATAAGTCACTTTAATCACTGGCAGCCGAATCCGTCTTCTCAACTATCGCCTTATTCTTGGAAAATTACCATCAGTCGTTACATCTGATGCTTTTAAGTGTACATATAAGTCGATTCATGCAGTTTTATGAACCAGTATTGTCTATACGTATTAATTCTTTTATAAGAATCTCGTTTCTATCCGTTTCTACGGTTACTTTTCTCGCTTCCAGAACAATCTTGAGGATAAATTCAAATCTCTGCATCCTCCACTAACCGGAAAGGAGCTGAGTTTCTTACAGGTAAGGGCTGTGTTCTAAAACGCCTCCCAGACTGTCTAATGATGTTCCTTCTCTCCAGACACTGCGAGAGAACATTTCTGTTGCTTCGCGGTGGAATTAAAAGAATTAATTCTCGAAGCAAATTATTCGAACACATACCAGTTTTTAAAAGACTGATGGGATTCTCCCCTACAGTTAGATATCAGCACTGACAAGACATTTTCGTTTACTGCTTTCGAAAATCTGTTTTATGAGTTTCTTATATCTACGTAAGGTAAATTAATCAGAATACACGTGTATAGTGATAACCATTTTCTGAGTTAGAAGTTAACCGAATTTAAAATAGACTTGCACTCGTGCTTTCGGGAACAACGCTGTTTCCTCGGCATCCCTTGTTGTGGTCCCTCAAATCGACCTTTTAATTCGACTACGACTATCAAGTATTGTGGCTGCCCGAAATTCTGAGATGATTGAGGATAGTTTTTATCATTCTCGATCCGTTCATTGCAGCTTTTATCATATGCGATGGTAGCAACTGGTTTTTGACTGGTAATGGAATAACACTAATCAAAGATAACCAATGAAAGCGATAATGGCGCAATAAGATAGATCGTCTCAAATGGTGCTATTCTCACGTCATCATTATCTTCATTCAATCATATTTATCACTTATTTGCTGCCCCCTGTAACAACGCTAATAAGAGTGTTTGACAAACGATTGCATTATTTTGAACCTATATGTGCGATTCGAACAGAAATTGATATCAAGAAGAGCCTCAACTGACGAGCAATTGACCAGAGCATTTCACAACCCGTGACCTGTTCAATTGCGGCTAAACCAGTTCAGCCGCTGCGATTGTCCACATGATGCGCACAAATCGCTAGGTCGGTTAAACATTTTCCATTGCTTGTTGTTCATACCCAACTCGGCCCCGGACACAAATGAGATGCATGCTCCGTTTTCCAGAAAAATTACGCACAACAAAACTCAGCCCTGCGTCTATCCACCACCCTCTCTCCCTCGATGAATCAATGGTGATTCGGTTCAAAACGCTCGGTATCATAGTCCCCTGGTCTCCTCGTCATGACAACCGACATCCGAGCGAAAACCACATGCGTGATTTGATTCCCCATCACGAAACTAGTTTCGATGATGTGATGCATTCTATAGTTCAAACAACGGATTTATTCTCTTAGAAAAACAATAACAAAACGATTGAGAAAACGTAGACCGAGTGGTCCAGCTTAACCTATTTACCTCCGATGAAATAAAATAACAATTAACTATATGAGGCAGATAAACACACCCCTGGAATTTTTCAGGTCTCTTCGTATTTAGCGGCTTTAGTATATATCCTCAGTCTTTCTTTGCCTGAAAAAATTGGCACAACTTTTTCCTCACCCATCCGAGTGCATAAAGCTACTACTGACTTGATTTGAAAAAACTCATCACAGAATATATTTGAAGAGAGTACACAATCACCAACAGGATTGTTTTCGCCGTACTTTATTAGGTTTGTATCACCGCTTATTTATTACAAATACGTGCAACAGATAAAACAATATTCATTGACCCTGGACCACCTACACAGACTGAACTAAACTGTAGCTTTGGTGGAAATTGAATCAGAATTTGGCGATATCAGTTTGGACTTTTACGCTGGACCGAATTACTAAGTCCTCTGCGACCCTATCCTCTATCTGTTCATGCCCAGTACAGTTTGCCGAAACGATTGGGATTCAAAGATTTATTCATCTGCTTGGTAAAACCACCAAATTCGGAACTGGTAACAAACAGTTCCATCTTTTAGTCGTAAACATGGATATGGTTTATTTTGTGCTGTACCACTGGCGAGATCCAGCAGAATGCATCCCGTACAACTATGCAACTGTGCTGTATTATGTTTTCAAGCTCCTATTCCACCGTACGAAAACGACAGAAAAATCAAGCAATCAACTGGTTTCGGGATAGCCTTCGTCATGATCAACTTAGAAAACAAATGAACTTAGAGCAAAGTATGCATAGAAAAATCAAACCGGGGAACAAAATTTATTCGTTCCATGTGCACCTGGTAAGGTCATATCACATCTAATCTGATTCAACTTTGGGCCAGGTGCGAGCAAGTTTAACAACCTCCCCCACACACACACGCCTCATAGATACACGAGTGCCGGGCTCCGTAATTCGTTACAAGATAGATGAAGCGTGATCACACTGTTGACCGCAAAATACGCTTGCCTCGAATTGCCCAATCGACCTATCTTGGATGAATCACTCATATGGGTGAAGGCAAAATCTCATGATGCTCTATACAGAACCGGTATACAAGAGTATTCCGTGATGGCTTATACTATTGCATGCCCCGAGTGTTATTCAAGAGTCTTTTACATATGTGGAACCGGACGACATATGATGGGTTTCAGTTTCAGTTTCTGCAACCATTAACCATGCACTATCGTTCGCAGGTTTTGGTTGCTGTCTTTTGGCTGCCCGTTTGGATGAACATGAGGAGAAACACAGGAAAGGTTGAAAGTAGGATCGAAGAGAAAATTTAGGATTTCATTCCATTAATTTTGCAGAGAACGCCACTGTTTAAGACACCCAGCCGTATCACTCAGTGTCTCTAACCATCGAATATGATCATCCCGAGGTCCCCATCCAGGGAACCTAACGGGACGTATGTGACCCATTCTCCTGGTTAGGGTTTTCATACCCTCATTCCAGGTCTTAGCTTGACCACCCTTGACTTTCTTCCACCCACTACCTGCCTCGGCGAACATCGCTCGCCGTGGCAACCTATTTGGTGACATGCGTAACTCATACCCCAACCAACGTAATCTATGGAGGTCGACCACTTGCTACAGTGGACGACCGCGGATACACATGATGGGACTTCTAATTAAGGAAGCTTGATATCACAACCAGGACTGCCCTTGGAAAATGTGGGCACAACTGTGGCAAGTGGCAGAGCTTCGTGAAGGTTGCCACTTAAACTGCCCCCATATCGTCTAGCTTGGCGAGCTCTCAGACGTCAACTTGAGGTTCCTTTAACTAGCTTAAATGTTGAAACTTTTATCGACTTCTTTTAGCTAGATGATACACAGATTATACTATACAACTTGCAGACAAAAAAATTCTCCGATCCATCACTGGTGTTGGGTGTGCCTTTGTACATGTGTGCAATGAGTCCAACAGGTTGACAACAATTAGCGAGATCATATGAACTACATAGGAGTGGGGCCTCACGAAGGTAAATCTGTGTTGTATTAACCTGATTCCTACGGATCGGGAGTTGTCATAATTTTTTAATATAACCTCTTGTTTGTTTTGACGAAGCTTGTAAAAGCCGAGTTCGAGTGGATTTTGTGAACGCTGCATAGTATTGATTGGTTCCCTTGGAATCCGGCCGTAGGAATTCAACATTGTCCTGGTATATCTCTGCCTGGCAAATCAAATAGCCGAGCTACTAGCCTTCCTATTCCAGAGGATGTTCGATCACACTGCAATCGACCCGTCGTGGAATCAGGGAGTAATTTCAACCATTTACAAAGGCGGTTCCCGTAGCGATCCCGCTAACTACCGCCTTGTAATCCTCCTTCCAGTGCTGTCCAAAGTCATGGAGTCCATAGTAGCAGATTCCTTGATGGAACACCTAGAGAAACAAGTTTTGTCATCTACTCAATATGAATTCCGAAGAAATCGATCCTGCGCTACCAATTTGTTGATGACACGAGAAGAATGGACAAAAGCATATGATGACGGCGACGCTGTAGACGTTATTTATTTAGACTTCTCAAAAGCGTTCGATCGGGTGAATCACGACATTCTACTGCGGAAAATCTATAATCACGGTTGTTGGGGCCTCGTGCTTGGATCTGTGCTTGACCAGCGACTTTTCCTAAGATTCATTAACGACCTACCGAAGGCACTGGGGCCAAAATCATTACTTTTTGCAGATGACGCGAAAATTAGGAATACAGTAACGTAACCAGCGAGCTCACTGGCACTTCAGGAAACGTTGAAGGCAACTCACCTGTGGTCCATTATGAACGACATTGAATTCAATTTGGCCATAGTGTAAGGTTCTATCTCTACGACACAGGGGGCGATTTTCGTATTTCCTCGGAAATGAACAACTGCCACACGCCACAAGTGAGAAGGACCTGGGCATCATCATTCACGAAAACTTAAGCTGCTCAGTCAACTGCACCAAGGTGTCCAATGCAGCTGTAGAGAATGTCGGTTTGCTTAAGCGGATCTTTGGCCGGTTCGAGTCAGCGCTTTTCCCCCATCTACTATCAGCATACATTCGACCACCCACAGAGTATGCTATCCAGGAATGGAATTCATGGCTACAACGTGATTGCAAAAATGCTAGAGCCTCCACAAAGGATGGTCACCAAAAGGGTCAGGGGGTCGAATCGGTGTTCATACGCAGAGAAGTCACTGAGGTTATATTCCAATGATTACCGGCGCATCAGAGGAGATATGATTATGATATACCAAATAATGCAAAATCCAAGCCATCTGTGTCGTCCGCTTTGAAGTTATCACCCAATGTTCATCTTAGAGGACATTCATCCAAGCTAATGGTCTCAAAATGCCACCTGGAATGCCAGCATCACTTATTTGCAGTCAGAGTGTGTTCAATCTGGAACTTTCTCCCATCCTACGTCGTCCGTGCTCTTTCAAACTGAGACTCGATGAAATATTAGCATACTTTACATTCCAACATAAGTGAAGCTGCGTGCAGCAGTAGAAGAAGCACGTATCACGTGACATTTTACACAGGGGATTGTATGAATCACTGTTTTTTAACCACCACACGAACCTATGGGAGGAGAAAACCATCAGCTTGTAAGTTATTCCCATAATAAATCTTTGATCTTTGCTTGTTGTCAAACAACCGAAAATGGTGCGGACGCACTCATTCAACACAAACTGAGATCATTCGGTTCTATATGGGCTGATCCACAGACATCTGTGTGAATGCGAGACGGGACGGATCGAGAGAAAAAACCGTAATCAGTTTTCCATTTTGCATCTTTCACTCCGATTTTTTTGTTTTCTTTTAAATTGAGAAAGATATATATTAATTTCCACCTAATTGAAACACAATACGGCAGGAAAAACAGACTATATCGTTTGGATTTCATGTAAAAATAGTTTATTTTATCAACCCTTTTACTTCAAACACTTTTTTTCAATCATAGGGATGTCTGGAGATGGATCCTACCCAGCGACTTAACACTGACGCACTGCTAAAACATCCCTACATGGATTTGCATGGGAAATATGTCCAGTACATGGGTGCCGAACTTCGGCCAGTCCCTGGAGCTGGTGGAGATGGTCACTGGATCACGGGAGGCACAACCACGACGAGAAGAAAAGAACGCGGACCAAGCTTTGCCATAAATAGTAAACCATTGGGCGCCATGGGACAGAGTTTTGGGGGTGTACGACGAAAGCCAGGACTCGCCACAAATACGACAACCACGATGAATACCAGCACCATTCCTTTGACGACCACCAGTAGCACAACAAACGCAACCATGGTTGCAGTTCCATCGCAATCACATCCTCCGGGCCAAATGGACACGCCAGTTAGAGTAACCGGATCCAATACTCCACAGAATGACATCGGTCCAACGGGTTCGCCCCAGAATGCTCATACTCCAGTCCCTATGGGATTCGCAAACAACATGAGTCGCAATAATTGGTTTGGATCAGGCATTGTAGGCCAGGGGTTTCACCACGTAAGTTCAGACGTGTTGGCAGTTTATATACAGCCTTAACATAGCTCGTTTCAGATCATGTTTAAACATAAACATTTTGTATAACATTCAAGAATTTGAGGTTATTATTATTACCCCCAGATTCATTCCATTGTAAATCCATGCTGAAAAGGTTTACCCTCTGTAACCAAACTATTAACTGATGACCAACATTTTCGAAACCGCCGTTTTATGGATGATCTTTGACGTTCGTTTCAATATAACTGTCATATTACATACGGTTCAACGGGATATATCTACCACCACGAAAAAACTTTCACTGTATTCAATTGTCAGTTTGAATTGCATCAGTGATGTGGTTTTCGTTTTTTGTCAGCTTTAACTATCGGCACGCTTACATCACTTTTAATGGTGAACGTATCGCTTGTGGAAAGCGATAGGCTAGCTAGAAGACGGCATTCATTGAATAAGCGACTTAAAGCACTAACACCGCGTCATGCCCACCCCACAGCACCATCACAAACACGCACATAGTTTCTCATCTGTCCTAGCCACATGATCAACGCGGATAGGTGAATTGGAGGAACTCATTGAAACCGGGACGACTTGCCATAAAAGAGTACAAACGATCAGAATGGTTACCATAACTACCGGAAAGTAAAGATGGAAACAATTCTGTGGTTCTGAGCAAGGGTTCATTTTGTTACAAGCATCCCTAATTTCCGATGAAGGCGAAGTTCAATACCTTAAATGGTGATACCATAAAATATCGTCCTATCACCAATACAGTTTTGTTGATGGCTTGGGAAAATCGCGCTCACATTTCTGCAGAGCCTTTAAATCAAGAAGTGATAGACCAGTCAGATGTTATATATTCAGTCGCACACTGCAGCTGGGGCGCAAACTAGTGAAATCGTCTCACGTTTTTGACTAGCTGAACATTGAAGAGATGGAGAAGTTCGTTGTGTACTTTCTATCCATCGTAGACAGGCAAGGCGATTGGAAACGTACGACCGCCAAAATCGCAATAGTAAGTGTTTACATGGGCACACCTGATGCGTCACACTAATGTGATTGGGATCTTCGAAACAGAATAAAATGATCGACCGCCGGCTACTGAACAGTCATAGTGCTGACGCAACAACAATTGCGAAAATAGATTTTTGTTTGTAAAAGGGAACCATGTGGAAAAACGAAAAGAACAACAACGGGTACGATGATCCTCAGATTGTAAGGCGTAGCGAAGGTACGCAAAAGGGGCTTTCCCATGAGACCGATTTCGGATACGTTCAACTCCCGTATCACGCATTCGCGAAGGGGTAAGCCAGATTATTGGAAGACTTACGATCTCTAAATATAATCTACGGGACACACTACGTCGTGTACGACTCGTGAGAAACCTAAATCTCGAGGTTGAACGCTTTCGCCTAACACTATCTCGCTGTTTACGAACACAAACTACAGTCCGTCTCCTGCTGTGCCGCACCCTTCGGGAATTCGAAGAAGTGGGCAGATTCCAGGAACTGCGACACAACATGCTAGTCCGTAGTATTAAGTGGTATAAAAGTCGGGTAAGAGTTTTGTGACAAAATAAACCGGATCGATGAAAACGTTACTTTCGTTTTTATTCCCAATGTTTATAACTGTGTACTATCTACTTATAACGGTGTATCCTCTATGCAACCAAGAAATTGAGATCTGCAAAGCTTAATATCGGTACATTGCATCCGATATTCAGCTCTTTTTCAATTTTAAACTGCTTACCTTTCTTCAGGGGAATTTTCTGACCCAATTACCGCAGATTAATTCCAGATATTCCTCCATTCCTTTGCAGTTTTAGGCGAGCCAAAGAATTTCGTTTATGGCTTCCATCACCGTATAAAACTGTTTTAGCTATAATGATCACATGACTATTAACCCATTCGATGAAAACAGGAATGAGCCAGGTAGAACACGGGACAAAAAAATCGTATTCGGAGGAAATCTTATCATGTGAATAACGGAGGATTTGATTCAATTTCAAAGAGGAATTTCGTCGTGTATATGTCAAATGAAGCGTGAAATGAAAAGCTAGGAAGCACTGTACAGCTGTTTCGACCTAGTTGGGTCTCATCGGCAGTGCGAATCCATCGACCCAACTGGGAATCGAACCCGGGACCTCATGGGCAGAACGCAAGCATGCTACCCACTCGGTCACCGGGAGCTGATCAGACTCTTTTTCATTTTCCATTTACACGAATTAGCACAACCTATCTTTAAAAGCTTGTTGCGGGACACGGTCCTCGCTCATCGCAGTACTAGCCTGAGGGTGGATGGATTCGCACTGCTTATGAGACCCAACCAGGTCGAAACAGTTGTTCAGCGCTTCCTAACTTTTCAGTTCTCGCTTCGTTTGACATATACACGACGAATTTCCTCTTTGAAAAATCACATCATCTAAAATATGTGTAATATCTGTCACGGGGTATACTCAATGCATTGACTTCCTTCTCATATTCCAAACTGATTGTTCGCTGTGCAATCTGTTTATGATTTTCTGGTGAAAAATGTGTATCATCAGTGTCTTTAGACATCTACATATTCCTTCGTTCGCTTTTACTGTTACCAGTGTATGTTCAAACCGATCGATACATTCGTTATGACCATTGTTGTTAAACTTAAGTGACATTAGCTCAACACGTGATGTCATTAAGTGATTCACAAATTAAAAGTGCATCACGCAAACAGTGAGGGGCGCGTTAGACCAGGGTTACGTTGACCTTTGGCCAATGACGTGTCACATATCATCGGCACTCTAGCAGGGACAAGTGTGATCGCTTGGATGACATCTTACTTCACACACCCGCTTACCAGTCAATCGCGATAATCCTTCACCCGTTTGCGTGTTAATGTGCATATCGAAAAAACAAATGGCTGTGGCTTTGGTGACCACTGTTCAGTGTTTACAACCACTAACCATGCACTTTCCTGCGCTTGTTTCGGTTGTCTTTTGGCCACCCTTTGGATAAAGGAGCAGACTGAGGATTGGTATGTTGAGAGCAAATTCAAGGGTAAAATAGAGTATTCATGTAGATTTGGGTTGTAGGAATATTGAGTAGATGCATGAGCACCACTATCTGGGACATTCAGAGATATCGCTGTTTCTAACCACCGTTTACCATGGTCTCGACGTCCAGGGAGCTTAACGGTACCCATGTGACCCAGTGTCCTGGTTAGGGTTTTCAAACCCTCATGCCAGATCTTAGATTGACTACCCTTTACCTTTTCCCAGCCGTTAACTGCCTACTTGGTGACATACGCAATACACGTCCCAACCACCGTAGTCTATGGAAGTTGAGCACTTGTTCCAATTGACGACCACGATTACCTCAACCTGTGCATCAAACCTGTGAGCAAATCGATGCCGCTAACCTCGCACGAGGGTAGGGCTGTTTCAAAAATTACATCTATGACAAAGTTAAAAAGAAACGGAGAGAGCGGACAACACCATTTTCCGTGGTGAACTCGGAGTATAATACCAGCAAGAAGTTTAGAGACAATGTTGCTTAAACTACTTCCTCTATGGTTTGCACAAGAGGATCTGCCACCTTCTTTATAAATCGGCATGATGACCGATTCATACCATTCCTTTGGAACCTGTTCTCCCCCTCCCCCATTCAGAGTCCAGGAGGTTCGGCGATAAATTTTCTCCAGTTGTGCTCCCACGAAGCAGTAATACAATTTCTGGGATTCAGAAACTGCTTTTTCCTTTGAGACTCCATTTTCATTCTGGAAGCTGCTTGTAATACAACGCTGTTTTATTTGCAGTGAAAATAGGTCAGTCAGCGTATCCATGGATCAACTGTGGCAATCTAGCTCGAAACTCGTCCAATGCATCACGTGGTACCGCCAAGCTTTCCCCGTAAACCTATGAAGTAATGCAAAGGGGTAGTTATTTTTCTCTTACTTTCTAGGATTGAATAACAAATTTTTGGAAGCCTTTAAGTCACGATGTTACATTACTTGTAATAGCTGGATTGCCTTTTTAAAAACCATGCTCTTCATCATGGGAAACTCGTCCTGCTTTTCCCTTACAGCAATAAACCAACCCAAGATTGCCTCATTTTTCGTTGGTTTTCAGGTGGCATCTCTCCTGAGATGCTCCAGCGTTCACAAATTATCCGA